TCGGCGCGGTCGTCGGAACAGCGTTGGCCTCGGCGGGCGGGGTCACGGCCGCCACCGTGCTCTTTGGAACGGCCGGCGCGGGCCTCGCCGGCTACAAGACGGACCGGCGCACGTCGGGCATCAAGCAGTTTGAGTTTGAGCTCTTGACGGCCGGTAGTGGCATGAACGTGTACATTTGCGTTTCGGGCTGGCTCGAGAACAACTCGGAGGCCGACTTTAAGCGGCCGTGGGGCACGCCGCGCGAGTACCTCTACGCGTTTTACAAGCAGTACAACCCCGAGAAGGTCTCGTCTATCGATGCGATGCTACTGCGCTTCCGCGGCCGCGAAGACGAGCTTTTTGCTTCGCTTCGGCGCCAATATGGCCTCGCACCTGATGAAGATCCTGTACGAGGATGACCTTTCGAAGAAAAAGCCTCATCGGTGCGTGTCGTGGTAGGTCGGCGTGCGCCTCGAGAACGTGGTGGAAGGCAAGGACGCGCCGACGCCCGACCAGCTCTGCGCGTGGCAGTGGAAGCACCGCATGGCCCACGGCGACCAGTTTTGCCTCAAGTGGGAGAAGGACGTCTTGCTGCGCTACGGCACGTGCATCCGCAACTTTACAACCAAGATGGTGCTCGGCTACGCACGCGGCGAGATCGTCAAGTACACGGTGTTTGCGGCGCTCTTTGCGGCCGCGGCGCTGCCGACCATGGTCGTCAACGCGTGCAGCTACATTGACTCGGAGTGGACCATGGCCATGAGCCGCGCGGACATGTGCGGCAAGCTGCTGGCCACCGCGCTTCTGCAACGCGAGCAAGGCTTGCGCCCCGTGAGCCTCATCGGCTACGGCATGGGCGCTCGTCTCATTTTCGCGTGCCTCAAGCACCTTGCTGCCGTACGTCTGGTCTCGCGAGCAACGATGTGGCTCATGGCAATGGTTGTAGGAAGAGGGCGTTGGTCTGATTGAGAATGCAGTCTTGCTCGGGTGTCCGATTCCAGTCGTCGAGGCCGACTGGGCGAGCGCCCGCAAGGTCGTGGCCGGCCGCCTCGTCAACGGCTACTCGGAGAACGACTGGATGCTCGCCGTCATGTACCGCTACCAGGTACGAGGCGGCGACGATAAAAGCGTGTACGGAGGATGCGGTGTAGGGCTGGGCGCTGGACTCGGCGGGCATTAGCCCCATTGAAGTTCACGGCGTGGAGAATGTCAATTTGAGTCATGTCATTGGCGGCCATCTCGAGTACCCGACCAAGATTGGGCTGATCCTGGACCTGCTGCATTTGGAAGACTAGCCAACCCAGTCTGACAAATCCAATACCAAGTCAAGTGAAAATATCACGAGTCGAATAATCAAATCAGAAAGTATTAAGCATCTAAAGTTAGCGATTTCGGATCGTTTGTCGTTGGAGCAAATGGACGGCGACGACTGGACGCCCAAAGAAGATGAGGTGGCGCCGGCATCCAACACCGCCGCCTTCTTGACCGAGACAGACGTGCCGCATGCCACGTCCGAGCAGCGCCGGATGGCCATTTCGCTGCCGCCGGACGACGACGAGAACAATTCTGGTGGCGAGAGCGACGATGGGAAAGGCGGCAGGTACCGCGCCATGATCCAGCGTGCGGCCAAGCGAACGATCATGATGGTGCGTGCGAGGACGGCGTCGCAGTCGCTCGAGCGCATCACGGTGCGCTTCTCGCCGAGCCAGCCGACAGAGCTGCCACGCAGCGTGCAGCTGCCGCTCCTCAAGCAAAAGGTGCTTGCCCACAACAACCTCGACGCGTCGTCCAAGACCGCACGGCTCTTCAAGCACCTCTTCCAGACCTCGGCCGAGCTCGAAGCGATCGTCAAAGACGTGTTTTGGTTCTTTATCGCGCACGAATTTCAGGTACAACACCTCCTTGTTGTGCCGCCTGCAACGTTCGCGGTAGAACGGACAACATTCAACGCTCGAGTCGGACTTTACCGCGCGGATCGCAGACAACTACACCAACCTTTTCTTGCGGCTGCAAGTTGACCCGTCCACGCGCGACTCGAGTGCGTCTTCGTGCATCTTATTTGTGTGATTTTTGAGCATTTTCAACAGACGAAATTGCGTAGATGTGCTGGCGCGGTTGCCCGACATCCTCGCGCAGCTCGTCTTTTTGGCGCTGCATGAAGCGTGTCCGATGTCGCGCTACCTCCTCAACCGCGACGTCCAAGCACGCCTCGTTCGACGCTGTTTTTCCTGGTCAAACTGTTGAAATCTTGATACTTAAGGGATCGTTTTCGTATCCATCATGTAGGTTTGTGGGCTTTGAACCCAAGCAGCTGCAACTCGACCACTGGATGCCCGAGCTCTCCAAGCACGCGCAGCGGAAGTCAGCGGCGCTCACCGACTTTCCTGCCCTTCGCAACCGCGTGCGCCGGTCCGAGCGCCTCGAACGCATTCGCGCCGGTGACGCCGAGCCCGCCGCGTCGACAACGTCATCGATTGTCGTGGACGACGAAAAGAACGGGATCGGCTTCCAAGGACCCACTTGCACACGTATACAAAGGAGCGCGCGGTCTACTCCCTGCGCAACTCGCCACTGATCGGAAGCTTCCTGGCGCGCCACGGCCTCGAGAACAACGCGACGTGCTTGGCTGTCGACCTGCATCTCACGACGACGACCCCGCAAGACGCCTTGCTCAAGACCCACGGCCCGCGCCAGCACCGGCGCGCAGTCCTCGACGCCGTCTCGTACACGGAGCTCGTGTCCAAGTTTGAGGCGTACGGACGCCATCTCAAGGCCACGTACTCGGACGAGCGCGCAAAGGCGGACGCAGCCAACCGCGCGGATGTCAAGGTCACCGTAGCGGCGCACAAGAACCTTGCCGCGCAGTACGCCTACGTTGCGAGCCAAGAAAAGGGCATCCATGAGCTCAGCAACGTGCTCGTGTGCCACGCCCAGCTCGAGGCCAAGCATCCGATTGCACGTCCGACCAAACCCTCGGCGCGCCCGACACTGTCCCGGCCGCAGCATCGTAGACCGACGTGAGGCCGTCACTCGTCGAATCGTAGGTAGTACATTTTTAGAGTCGTTGAAGCCCCTTCTTTTTGGCCAATTTCTTCTTCCGCGCCACCGCCTGGTCGTCGACGCTCTCGTCGCGAGCGCGCTTGGGCGCAGACGATACAGCGTTGCTACCGGCGTCGGTCGTCTTGAACTTGGACTTGGTGGCGTGAATGTCGGTGAGGATCTTGGCCCGGCGCGCATACTCGTCGTAGCACTCCATGAAGAGCTTCCCAGCCTCGTCATTGAGCGACGACTCGGGGAAGGGCACGATCAGTAGGCACCGAATGACTTGCAGCACGTGCGAGAGGTCGAGGTCGGCACTCCAGTCGCGCTTGAGCGTGTTGACGCAGATGTCGCCGTTGGGCGCGATGTTCGGATGGAAGATCTTGGTCAAGAAGACACCTTTCGGCGGCGTGGTCGGGAAACCATCGGTGAGCAGCAGCTTCACCTCGAAGAAGCCACCGACGTACGGTGTCTCTTCGGGCCCGCGCAGCTCGACGTGGATCTCAGCGAGCGAGTCCTGCTCCAGGAGCCGGATACCGTCCGGCGGGTTCGTCGCCAGCTGCCGGACCTCCTTGGCCACGCGCTGGAGGATCTGCGGCGAGAAGTTCTCATGGGCGGCCTACATGCAGCCATCGCATGAGCCCTCGTCGACGTCGCCGCCTGTCCCGTACCATCGTCCGCGACCGGAGCTTGGAAAAGGTGTGGGAAGGATGCACCAATCACCGCCGGCGGATTTCGAAATTTCAACCACTCATTGGGCGTCAAGGAGTTTTTTCGAAGGTTCGGTTGCGCATACAATCTTCCATATATTTGGGTTCGGAATAAAATCAACGGCATTAAATGAAGCGCTCGACCAGCGACCGTCTGCAGTCTGATTGGGGTATTGCAGCAGTCGGCTTCAACCAAGGACATGAATGTAATTGATGTTCTTGCTTGAACGAACTACCTTCTCGGTCTTGTAGCGAATACAAAGTGTAGTGAACTACTAGCCATCGTTGTCGACATTGCAGGGTTTGATTTCCAAAAAACAGAGTCAGTGGACGCTATCTGCGTGCTAACGGTCGAGATTGTCCTCGCGTGCCGCTTCTTGCGGTTGCTTGAGCTCAAGTAAATCACATTCGTTATCAATACTGGCATTGTCTGCCGTGAACTGCATGGCGGCCACCCTCCCACCGGGGGTGGAACAGGGGTAGGGTTGCTTGCGTTGTTTGGTGCCGGGGGTTTCAGCTGCCGACGACCGACCGAAAATGGACACCGCCGACGCGGCAGAGTCTGCGCCATCAACTGCTCCCGCGGCGGCACCATTCGCCGCATCCGAGTCGACACCGACGGCTGAATCGCCCGCGATTGCGCCGGCTGACGAATCGGCGCACCCATTTGCTCCTCATGCGGTCGACGGTCCCAAGATGCCACCGACGTCGCCACGCCCGGTGATCACACCGTCGCTGCGCACTACGCCACGAAGCGCGCCAACACCAAGTACTGTGGCGCAGCAGAGCACTCCACGCAACGTGCGCTTTGCAGACGACAGCACGACACCTCCTGCGTTGACGCCGGAGCCGAACCAAGAGCTACCCAAGGTGTCCCCACCCAAGGCTTCTGTCCTCGGCACCCGGCGGGCAAGCAAGAAGTATGCGATCACTGAGCTTCAAGGCAGCGGTAGCGACGACTCGGAAGAGAAGCACGAGGACCTTGCACTAGAAGACGATGCAGAGCTACCTGGGTTTGACCCGTCGATGCCAAAGCCCAAGCTTAAACTCAAACTGACGCGCCAGCTCACCTTTCAGCAGCGTCAGCGCCGGCAGATGCGCAAGCACAAACGTGTGTTGCTCGCGACGTCGCACTCGCTGTTTGCGTTTGCTTCCTTTTGGTTTCGGACGCTCTTGAGTTTGCACACGCACGAGTGGATGGCGTACCTCCTGGTACGATTCAAAAGACTCAAACTCCATTCTCAAAACAGAATGCTAGATTGTGTTTGGCTTGCTCGGGGAGTGCACGACGCCTGGTCCACGCTACAACGTCGCGATCGGCACGCTCCTCTTGACCGTGCCCGTCAAAAAGGTTCAACGTTTATTGTGTCTGAATCTCAAAACTAAAAAAGCGATAGATTGAGCTCCACTTGACGACGACGGGCATGGTTGTCGCGATCCTTGTCGACCTTTTCTGGCTCTGTCGCTCCGACGAGCGAAGCTACGGCGCGACGTTTCCGTGGCAGCTCACGTCGTTCTGCCGCGTCTGGGCCGCGCTCTGCATGCTGCTTAAAGTGTGGCTCTCGCTCTCCGTGTACTGGTACCTCGAACCGAAACTCAAAACCACCCCGTCGCACCGGCCGCCCAAACCACTCCACCTCAAGTGGCAGGTGTTTCTGGATCGGGCACGCTTCTTCTTTCCGACAACGATTCTGCCGCCGCCGACGCAGATGTCCCGGGCCGTCCTTCTCCGCATCGTCGCGCTCTTATACATCTACTGCGTCGGCAGCGTCGTTCTTCTCTTCCTTGGTATCATTGCGTGTTTTTCGTTCACCATGTACCCGCACTTTCAGGTGGCGTCCTTGGGCATCCCCTTGCACTACATGCTATTGACCTCTGGCGTCGCCACCATGCTGACGCTGCTGCTGTTTCTGAGCAACCTGCACACCCCAATCTGGCGCTGCTTGAGTTTGCTATGGCGCCTCGCCTCGTACACGGGGCCGCTCGTGCACTGGCACGGCGTCGGCTACACGAACGACCTCAACTGGATCAAGATGGTCACAATCGCCAAGCTCGTCGACGCGTGCTGTGGCTTGTACCTCTTCTTGGTGCTCTACGCGTCGTTCCACCAAGGAACATCCTTCTTCGGCGGCGTCACGGCGCTGCTCTTGATAGCCACCGGGCTCAATGTGCTCTTGCAGTGCTGGGTGCCGCTGCTTCTGCTCGTCTTGTACAAGTTTATCGGTGTCATGGAGCAAACCCATCGGGACTTTGACACGTACCACTTGCTGCCGCGCAACTGGGACGCCGAGGACCACGCGATCGAGAATGGCAGCAGCGACGACAGCGACGATGATGACGATGACGGCACCAATGATTCGAGCTCGTCGTCTTCGTCGTCGGCGTCGTCAGAGAGTGACTGCTTCGTCTCTGAAAACGAAGCGGAAAGCAGCCACCCGCGACGTCGGCGGCGCCACGCGCGCCCGAGTGCGCCTCCCGCGGACGTGTGGGTGCGGCACCACGATGGTTACGACCGCGCGTATGTTCGCAACACGATCACAGGCGAGACGTTCTGGGACGATGACGCGCATGAAACCGAGACCGCGTCACCGCTGAGCTGCACGCTGTACATGACGCACGACGACTTCAAGTACTTTTGGAATAGTTTAGAGTACAGTGGGGGGTTTGCGTGTCGCATTAGCGTGCTCCCGACGGTCGAGGCGCTCACGGAGCACCTCGCAGCCAGTCGCTTCTACGTCATCACGGACGGCATGGCGTCCGAGACGATTCGCGCCGTGTACTTTTACGCGATCCACTCGGCGACCATGGCGCACTTTCTCGGCGCGCTCCTTCTCGACAGCCTCAGCAACGAGCTCGAAGCCAAGTTCAAGTGCGACCAGCCGGAGATGGTGCCTGAAATCGTCCAGTGTCTCCAACTCAAGGCGCTCCTCGGCGACTACGAGCAGCTCCGCTAACCCTTGCACGCGTCTGCATAGTGCATCAGTATTGGGTCGAAGTAACACCTCAGCCTACCTACGTAACTAGTAGTTTGACTCATTCACAGCGAAAGCGTCTCCGTGTGCGGCTACCGTATTGCTGTCAACGACAATACATTCACCACGCATAGCCCCTTCGCCGCTCGACTAACAGGGGGGTGAGTAAATTTGACAATATATGTTGTTGGCATGGGGGACCTCCCAGAGGGATTGGTGAAAATTGTAAGACGCCCACGGAAATCTTAGAAAAAGGGGATTATTACGAGTACTCATAGTAATTGCTTATTCTGCGTTTTCCACTTGTACATCAAATGACACCCCAGACATGTCCCTCGAGGACGACCGCGTGGCGTCGATGAGGAGGAAGAAACCAAGGCCCACGCGCCCGAGAGTGGCACGGGCCGTAGTTGGCGTGGTGCGACACGTAACACTGGCCGCGTTGGTCAAGGCTACGGTCAGCGGCCATCATACGCCGCAGCCGTTAATGGCGTCCAGCAACGGGCGGCGCAAGCATTGCGCCACACGTTCGTGCGCCTACTGCCCGAGCCCGCGGCGATCCGCGAGCTCATCGAACGTAACAAGTCGGTCTACGCGAGCTTCGACGAGCGCCTGGCCCTCATCAAGACGCACTTGCCGATCCAGCCAGTGGCCGCGAAAGTGCCCGTTTGGCTCAAGGGCAGCGCGCTCTTGATCCGCCGAGGCCGTGAACGTGTACGTCTCACCGAAGAGCTCGACGGATTTGTTGAGCATCTCCGAGAGCGTCTCGTGGTCCATTGTCGAAAACACAAGCGATCCGTCGTTGGTCTTGTTGATCATCCACACGTCGCTGTTGATGACCGAGAAGAACTCGTCCGTGATCTCGTGGTTCGAGTAGTCAGCAAACTCTTCGTCCCCTTGAGGCACGCGGGCACTTTCGCGGCCCCGAGCTGGACCGGCAAGTGCTTCTTCTTGAGGCGTGAAGCTGGCGAACATCGTGGTGTTGCGTTCAATGATTTCCCGCAGCGCCGCGGGCTCGGGCAGTAGGCGCACGAACGTGTGGCGCAATGCTTGCGCCGCCCGTTGCTTGACGCCATTGACGGCTGCGGCGTATGATGGGCGCTGACCGTAGCCTTGACCAACGCGGCCAGTGTTACGTGTCGCACCACGCCAACTACGGCCCGTGCCACTCTCGGGCGCGTGGGCCTTGGACTCTTCCTCCTCCTGGAGCGACGCCACGCGGTTGACGACTACCGCATAATAGTAAAATGTGGGGAGCTCCCAAACGTGCCTAATAAAAGCGAAGAAGAGAAGAAGAGAAGATCGACTTTCAAAAGGCGTCTTATCGTCCCGTCGTTCATCGCCATGTCTTTCGAAAGTTGACCTTCTACTTCTTTATCGCCGTTGAACGATACAAATAGATGCCGGTAAACACTTGATTTTTGTATGTATTTTGCCCCATAAAGGGGTGCCCGAAATCGTCCAGTGCCTCCAACTCAAGGCGCTCCTCGGCGACTACGAGCAGCTCCGCTAACCCTTGCACGCATCTGCATCACGCATCAGTATCGCATCGAAGTATGTCAACACCTCTCAGCCTGCTAACGGAACTAGTAGTTTGACTGATTCACAGCGAAAGTGTCTTTCTGTGCTGCTACCAAGGTACTTTGTATTGCTGTCAACGAAAAGGCATTGATGGACCACGCATGGGTCCTTTGCCGCTTAACTGACAAGGGGGACGAGGAAAATTTGAGTGTTGTGGTTTGATAATTTGGAGAGGTTGTTGTTGGCATGGGGGCCTCCCAGAGGGAGGTCAGAAATTAGTGAAGCCGCATTGTTTGTAAGACGTCCACGGTAATCTTTAGTAAAAGGCGAAAGATTAGTACGAGTAAACGCTTTACTGCGGGATATTCTTTCTACCACATATCTGACACTGCTACAAATATTACAAATTGCCAGGAGCTGAATTTCGTTCCCCACGTATATTGTGTGGCCAATGCCCGGATAGGCCACGGTCAAATGCGTTTTATTCGGGGAGTACCAATTAGGTGGTGGGTGAAATACCGCACGCGCATTGGTCTAAACTCGCTCTAACACTGCCTTTGGGCACCCGCATTGGCTGATTTTTCGCCAATGCACGAATCTACCGGGGCTGTCTTTGCGCAGACCTCATGATGCAGCGACTAGCTGGTATAGCATGAACTGGTAGCAGGCGAGTGTTCAATCGCCCAACGCCAACCGCTTCGTAGTGCTCGAATGGTGTCTTGAGCAATTAATGCAGCTCGCTTACACTGCAGACATGATGCTTATAGTACTATCGCTGGCGTGCCCCAATCAAAAGGTACCGGCGAGCGCGCCTGGTGTCGTGGAACGACGGCTAGAATATGGACGGTCGTCGCCATACCGGTATGATCGCAAGAAAAACGTGGACAGGGCATCCGGCCATTCGGTCGCTATCCGGATACTAGTTCAGCGCGATCTGCAGCGAGATGGCCGACCGAGTTGAAGACGCCATCGTGGCCTGTAGCACTGCCCAGCGC